CCAAAACTCTTTATTACGTTCTTAAGTGCGCATCTCATAGCATTTGCTTTACAATACCTTTTAACAGATTGCTTTCCAATACGAACAATTCTTGCTTAAATAGTTTTATAACGTATTTGTCAACAGGATTTCAATTATGTTTACAATTCAATATTAAGGTTATTATATATTTAGATAACATTTATAATCATTATAAAATAGATACATTTAATCATTAGATTTCTTCACAGTACTTTCACAGTTGTTTATAAGTGAATAAATTCTTCATTTCAAATACATTTATAAATAATTTAATGACCTGCCGTACGTTAGAAGCAGCAAAAAACTCGACATTTACGAGAAAAAAAAAAAAGACTTGCGTGGGAAACATTTAACAATCTGGAATCAATAAGAGGACCATTCATGATCGGACCTCCTTTCGCAAGATATACAAATGTTTTCACCTCCGTCGATTACCCTATTTTCAAATTCTTAATAAGCTGTCTTGATGATGTAGCACGTGCACATGGTCACATCATCTTGACCGCACATGGTACTTCCGCCAAATTCGCAAATGTATCCCTCTTCTGTTCCAAATCAAGGAAATCTGGTTCCAAATCAAGGGAAAGCTAACTTATTGGCATATCCGTGTGTATATTTATTAATTTTGTCGAGGATTGCAGCATTTGATGGTAATTTTATTTTTAATTAACCCAAATAAGTAAAACGTGTAAGCCCAAAGTGATTATTTTTCAGATATATAAAATTAAAAACGATGAGTTTAAAATGAGCAGCTAAAGTAAGCCTCTCCTCTAAAAAATTTTAAAAGGTTACATGTTACAATAATATATGGATGTGAAAAAATTTGTTTATTTAAAACATTTTGGCGTTTGGAAAAAAAAATAAAAGTAGCGAATATCTCTTATTAAGGCCATCGAAGACGTATACAATTTAAATGTACCGTAAGGGTATTTTCATTTCTTTAAGCATAACATTTTTCTTAAAATCTATATTTTTGTAGTTCAACAGCTTATAATTTTATAAAACAAATTTATAATCAAATTCGCTGTTGTTAGTTATCGAAAAATAACCAAGATGTGATTTTTGCCTAAATGTCACTAAACTATACAAATTGCTATTATACATCACACTATGAATGTTTCTTTCATGCAAAAGTGTCCCTTTTTCGATTTGTATGGAACTGTCGTGTGTCGAAATACTATCAGAACCTTGTCAAGCGAGCTTCTGAATGTAAACAAAAAACACTCTCTGGTGACCCAAGCTTCAAAGCAGTGCTTCACTTCTAGTGCCCCGTTTGGCCCCTCCTTCCTTTTCTACCTCCATGAGCACTCCGGAGAGGATGGGTACGAGAACCATCAGTCTCTGGAGAGAACTATCGGACCGCCGCATATTTGGAGTGTCACAATACCGCACATACACTATATATTTATAAACATCCAAACCCCCTCTCCAGAAATCGAATCCGAGCCCTTCGATACGGCACTCAAAATCACTAGTCACAATTCCGGCTGGGTGGCTTAAGTCCGCTGTGAAGGCTATGAATCAAATTGGTGGATCGACTTTTAGTTGAGAAGCAATATTTTTACTATGAAAAAAAAAAAAAAAAAAAAAAAAAAAAAAAAAAAAAAAATTGAACATCTAGAAATAACCGATATACATTGAGAAATGGCTGAAATATAATATGTTAATTTGTGGACAATGTTGGTAACAACAGAAAATAAAAAGAGGGCAGCAAAAATAGCAAGTTTCATGATAAAACATTCACATAAAATGCCAAATAAAATAATGAAGAATTTAGTGAATTTCCCGACAACCAGATGCACCATGACGTATGTTCACAATACATAATGGGAGCAACGCATTATGGCTTAAAAGGAATCGTACCATTTTTTACTGACATTTCCTGGTCGTCCCATTGTTTCCATAAATGTATCAATTTTTGCACCTTTTTTTTTTAAAACTGTAAATCTGTTTGAGTTGTGTCATTAATTTAAATAAAAATAAAAAGCATATATGCCATACAACAGTTCTGTTTATTCTATTGTGTGCTATACTTTATAAAATTTTAGAAATTTTCTCTATTTTATTCTACTACTATTTGTTTCAAATTCAGTATTAAAACGCCCGACCTGTGACACAGTGACACATGTGCATTCATTAGCTCAAGAAGTAGTTAGTAATTTTTCTGTTGTCAACAATATTTTGAAACTTTTTATAAATAACTAATATCGATACTAAAATATAACTATTTTTTTGACATAAAACTTGTTTACAGGTCTGTCCTAACTTAAACTGTGTTTATCGTTTGCAAGAGAGATCCATTGTCTAAAGCTCAAATGTATATTTTCTTAATTGGAAAAAAGAATACTTTTAAGTAAATGTTAGGCAATTTAGTGTTCCGAAAATATGAAGTGTTTGTTAACATTAGTTTCAAGAAACAGCTAAAAACGTTAGCAGATTTAAGAAAACTAATGAGACTCAATTTTCTGAGGTACATGGGAATTTCTACAACTCTCGAATATACCAACAAGAGGAAATTCACTGAGAAATTCAAGTGGGTTTCGCGAAACGGAAATTAAATGGAAGGAAGTACAGAAAAGTCTATTATTCTATTTAATGTTGTAAATTATGTTACCTGCTATTACGCTGTAAACTGCATTAACTTCTATTATATAATAAAATATTTTTTTCTTTGTTACGACTGACCTTCCTCGCATTCATGTTATCCCGAATTTTTTCTTACAGAAACGCGTTCAGCCTATGTAGGAAGGAATACTAAACGGTGTTTCACCAATCTGTGTGTGCACACATTGCTATTTAAAATATTGATAATTTTATGTCTCTTTTCCACCGTCTAAAGAGAATATTTAGAAAGAAATTCCAGAGTGGTGAAGAAAACTTTATTTCTGTTCATACGTCAATGAGGAAGCCTAAGAGACGTCTGACCTTAATTGTAAGGTTGTGTATTTCATTAGTTATGGTAAACCACGCAAGGAAAGGTACGTCTTTTTAAAAGACTTTCTAAGGGAAACTGGCTTTTATTCACGTTACGTATGGGGACCGCAATGAAAATGCGCTTTCAGGGAACCCATTCGCCGGGATATGAATATGGGTCGAACTACAGTGAGTGTTTATATATTTTTAGAACGATTTCAAGGTCGTTTAATTAATGTTTAAAATGTAAAGAGTACTGTTTTTTAAATGTTTGATCTGATAACCATTTTTCTGGATTATACGTGTGTATCATGATTTCCATGATAGAAGAGCTTTTCGTAAAATTTCCACGTGTTTGATTTCCATTCCTCTTCCACCACTTTTCAGAGTCCATTCATCGTTTTGGGTTTGCGCTTAGAAAGAGCTTTTTACAAAAGACGAAAGGCATCGTATTCCATAACAGGAATATATTGAAAATGTATATATGCAATACCTGTATCAGTCTTTGGTTTTTCAAGGAATGCAGTGGTACCTTTGGAAGTATGATTTATTGCTTATTTTTAATGAAGTTTCACTATTTGAAATTCATTGGGGTAAGGAAATGAAATTTCTTTTCTCCTGATAGCACGTTGAGTTGATTTTAATATTTTTTCCACTCTCCATGTTTTTAATTTCCCATTGTAAAAGAATCATGAAACAAACCCCTTACTGAAATTTTCTTCGCATTCACGGAACCGTATTTGTAAATTTTTTTTCACTTTGTCTTTGTGAATAAGTAGACCGTTTTTTCACCACTCATTTAGATAATCCTATGCTTCATTCAGGGTTTTAATGTATTTCCGTTTATCTCCTGCTAAATAGTTTTCACACATGGTTCTACAAATTGTTCTGCGTTGAGCCACAAGCCTCGGCTAAAGCTGAACATTATGTGTTTTAGCTCTCTTAAGTTGTATATCTTGGTTTATTATTTTATTTATTGTTGCTGCAGATGTATTGAAAGACTTTTCAATTGATTTCTGCTTCAACTGATTTTCCCTTAAGTGATTTAATTTTAGAAGCATTAGAAATAGTTCGTGCAGGGTGGTCCTAAAAAAACCTCCCCGATATATGAACTCCTAGAGGCCTATCCGCTCAATTAATCGAAATGAAATTTCAGATATTGTTACTTGAAGGTATGCACTCGAGGTTGCGATGATTTAATACACTAGAGTTCTCACGGTTACGGTTAAAGTGAACAAATTTCGAATGGCAGCACTTACGGTTTTCCAGCACAAAGGATCATCGCTCTGAATCACCAAAACGACGTTTGAACAATATACGTAACTGTAAAAGACCAATGACAATGGGCCCGAAGAAAAGTCTTTCAAGCGCAAAACGTCGTTATGTTTTTTTTTAGTTATGTAAATATGGCCATTCTGTGATTTCAATAGTTCAATCAAAAATGGTTTTCTACTAACTTATTGACATCTATTTTGGATATTATGACGGAAATTGAATACTTTATAAGCGTTATTTGTAGCTTCCAAGCAACTAAGAGGCAATGCCATACTGTTTTGCATACATTAATAATTTTTAATGATTCCAGTAGGAGTTCAGTTACATATGAAGATATCTTACAGAATAAACAGTTGCCTTCACTTGTAAATATATATTTCATTATTAGTTGTTTAATAAATATATTTTTATTAAATTCTTTCCTTTTAAAAAATTACTTAATGCGAAGATTAGGAAATCTCAAATAATTTTTGACACGATAATAATAATATCCAATTCATTAGAAATTCCTTTTTTGATATATCTGAAAAGAATTTAGTTTTAAGTATTTAAATAAAGAGAGACAAATAGTGAGTACAGAGGTAAGTTAATTCTATTAATTTCTTCTAACGTGTATTCTATCATATTTTACTTATTTCATTGTCAAAGTATTTCTTAACATACAGTGATAACATTGTAACCTAAAGCGATAAAATTAAACTTAACATTAAATTAGGTTTAATATAAAGTGATAAAATTAAAGAAATTGTAAATTAGGCCCTGCTGTAAATAAAAGATAAGTACTGTATTACCTCTCCACGTGTGATGGTTATTACAATCACCAGTCTCGTTCTTGACTAAATAGGCATTATGGTATCTAAGGGAACTGGCTCCGCTGATTGGCATGACACCAGGCTCCCACGTTAGCTTTAGTTCCGACATTTCGTGGGAAACTGTGGAAGAGAATAGAGAAAGGAAGACAATGTAATTAAAAATTAACGGCAAGGCACGAAAATTATTTCGAATAGTAAGCCAAAATAATTATTTAACCTTTTGTTTATTGTCTACAAAAGCATGATATTCGTTTTCTGAATATTTATATCAATGGGTACAAAGTCATGAACAGTCTGGCTTTGAGTCAGAAATCTGACGCAAATAATGGTATTAATACCCTCAAAACTTACATACTGAAATAAATAAAATTGAGAAATGCTTGTACATACAATGCCACAGTTATAGCATTTGTCATAGAAAAATAAGCATAAAGTAAGCAAATTAATGAAAGATAAAATTAAAGAATTAATTATAAAAGTAACGAAATTAAAGGTAAACTCACTTCTTTTCGTTTCTTAAGGTATTACTGTACTGCATTAAAGATTATTTGGGTTAAAGAAAGATTATTTTTTACTAAAGAATTACTTATTAATAGCTCCACTTAAAGTTATTAACTTATAAATGCTTCAAATACGCATGATTTTAATAATTTTTCATTGGTTATTATTTAGTTTATTTACTTAATTTATTCGAGTTATTAATTTTTTGGTAAAATGTTTGTTTCAGTTACTAATTTAATTACTAGTAATTGGTCTAAACACATATTTTAGGACAACCAACCTCATAAAAATAATGCAGATTTTACTATTTTTAGTTTTTGTTTTGCATAACTGTGTAAAGAATTATTCTGAATGATTTTTATTACATTTATTTTAAATCAGATGCACGGTATTGTAGGGCTCCCCTAACTTCATACCCAGTTATTTTACAATCATGTCCATAAATTAAAGATAATTCGGAGTCACGCGGAATTCGAACACTAAAATAAATATATCACCTGTAAAATCACTTCGCACATCTTCAAGAATCATATGCACATTTCAGGAAGTAACCAGATGACACAGATGGTACGTCACAGTGACCAGGTGTAGAGAGTGATATATAAGGATTACAGGCAAAAAGTAATTGTTCACAGGCGTTATAAGCATTTCAGGGCAATAACTGAATAATTATGACACAAGGACGGCATTTGGATGATTTTTTTAGTGGAGAATTATCGGCGTTGGAGTGTGGGCGTACCCAACTGGAAGTATCGACGAGCTTGGAATTGCCCAGAGTGTATCTCCAGGCTTTGGCAACGATTCCAAGATGATGGTAATGTGAGTAGACGTTACACAGGCCAGGTCGCCCCAGAGTACAAACGCCGAATGACGACCGGTATTTTGGCAGTTACTGCTAAAAGAAACAGGCGGAGCACAGCCTCAGACTGTCTCGTCAGCTCTCTTCAGCCACTGGTACGACAATTTCAAGGCAGACCGTGTACAGCGCTTAGGGCAGATTGGTCTATATGCGTAGAGACTGTCAATGCGTTCCACTTACTGCAACTCACTGTCGCCTCGGTTTAGCATGCATTGTGAATAACCCGCAACAGTGGGCTTGTTGAGAGAGATTTCTCGCCGGACTTTCATATGGGAGCTCCGGTACCCGTTACCAACCAAGAAAACATCATTGAACGACACCGTTACGGTGGTGCAGGAGTGCTTGTTTGGGGTGGGCTTGTGTGATATTTTCCAACGAGTCCAGGTTAAGCTTGCAGTCTGATTCTCGCCGGACTTTCATATGGAGAGCTCCAGGTACCCGTTACCACCAAGAAAACATCATTGAACGACACCGTTACAGTGGTGCAGGAGTGCTTGTTTGGGGTGGAAATATTCTGGGTTCCAGAACTGACCTGTATGTTCAAATTGGAACTATGACAAGCCAAATCTATCGGGACGTCATTCTGGAACAACATGTACGTTTGTTTCGGGGCGCCATGGGCGCACAATTTGTGTTTATGGATGACAACGCCCGTCCTCACCGTGCAAACATCGTAAGCGAATGCCTTCAATCGTAGGATATCTCCCGTATGAACTCTCCAGCATTCTCACCGGACTTGAAACCAGTATAGCACGTGTGGCACATGCTCGGCCGACGAATTGCAGCCCGTCAACCTCCTCCTACATGTCTACCGGAACTTCGGAGATCATTACTTTTTGAGTGGTGTAATATCCCCCAAGATCAGATCGCTAATTTGATACTCAGCATGTCTAGGCGTTGTAATATTGGTTTTTTGTAAATAGGGTTTTTTTTTTGTTATTTGCTCCAGGGAGAAAAAATCGCTAATTTTTTTAATAATATCAAATATATAGCATCTTTTTTTGCTCTTAACCTTTTGTTGAATAAATAAGCTTTACAAATAAGTCAAATTTGTTTTGCTTCTAACTCTTACTTTGCCTGATTTTGCATTATCCTTAATTTATGGACATGAGTGTAATTTTGGTATCTAGTTTGAATTTTCCTATTTCTTCTCGCATTGCTCGCCACGCTGCAAATTAAGTAGGTGAAAAAGAGTATTTAAATGGGTGTAAGAAGAAGGTATGACAGCGTATAGTTTCGTTAGTGTTGCGCACGTTTGCTATTTTGTTCTCCAGCTGGTAATCGTAGTAATGGCTACGCATACTGGCCGTTTAGTTAGTCTATCGCCGGTATAAATTGCTATGTCAGCCTGTTAGGGTAAATTAAATTTGAATTAACTACTTCTCACCACTTGAATTAATTTCTAAATTTACCTTTAAGTTCTCCCAGCAAGTAGTCGGTGTTTTTGTGAACACGAAGTCCGTGCTGTTAAAGAGTTGTGATAAAAAAGGGCTTTCTACTCTTTCCCTGTTGGGTTACTTTTCATGTCTGTGCGAGAAGTCGCCAGGCTAAACTTCGAGGCCTAGAAACTTTATATAATAGCCAAAAAGACCAGATCTTATAGTATTTAATTTTGGAAAACAACAAATTTCAACTTTATATGAATTTGGGCAAAGTACCTTTCTCATTCCAGCTTGTAGGGGCTGGATTGATGAAAAAAACTAATTGTGGTTTAGTTTATTGCTGCTTTAATTAAAAACAGATATTGTAAGCTGATCCATCACACCTAATTTCACTTAATTATTTAATACACTCTGTCCAAATTATCTTACATACCCCAAAATGATGATATTCAATGAAATATCGAATCAATGTGATCCGTATTTGCAGGGAATGTGTGAAAACCAAGCCTAATTAGCATTATCCAATCAAAAGTAATCAAACGGTTTGTGATATGCAAATCTAGGCGTTACGTCATCCAAGGGTGAATCAAGCGCTTTGCGCAAACTGAATATTTGAGTGAATTTCTGCAACATAGCGTTTGATTTCAGTGTGTAGGGACTCAAAGCGGTTTGTTATGGCTTCGAAGTATCATTTGGAAGAATCTGTAAAGTGGCGAATTATCGGCCGTTTAGAAGCAGGGCAGTCAATCATGGAAACAGCCACATGTCTGAATATTTCAAGACAGACAGTCTCTAAGCTATGGAAACAGTTTCAAAATGATGGAAGTGTTGTAAGGGGCCTGGACAAGGTCGGAAACGAATGATAACTATGACAAAACAAGCCAAGATTATAAGCGAAAAGAAGGATCTTATCGTAGAGAATGTTTCAAAGAAAACTGGTTTATGTTTTGCTACATCGAGGCAAACCATCAAAAGCGTAATGCAGCTAACACATTTGTTGAAAATAAAGCCGGCAAAGACTTACTAGGGCTCAGCCGCTTTAACCGTTTGATAAGGTAGATCAATGACAGGATGTTTATTCTGTACAATCAAGCTGGCCTTTTTGGAACAACTACTACAAGTTAAGTTTCTGCACACGGAGTTCAATTAAGAGACAAAACACATTTAAAAAAGGAAAATAATGAACAACTACCTAAATCCTATTTAATGGAAAAGTTACGAGGATATAGAAATACGTATTTTTGTCCTTATCTTGATACTAAGGAGAACATTTAACTTCTAATACAGAAAAATGATTGGTAGGCTGTTATACATTGTTAGTTGATTGACAATATAGTAAATCCTTCCCGAGCGCGGATTTGTGGAATGCGATTTCGGATATACGCGTTACCTTTATCGTTTTCATTTACGCTAGAATTTTATTCATAAGTAGTTCAAGGTCTATTTTTCAGCACCCAATACTTACTGGCATTAGCTCTGGCCAGAAATTATCAACAGTTTTAAAGGGTTTCCATCAACTGAAAACGACATCAAAGAAGTCATACAAATTGCACAAGAAACTGACTTTGAAGGATTTTCAAATGTGGAAGAATGAGATGTCAAAAAGTAATCGAGAAATGTCGAATTAAGAAATGCAAGATTTTTGTAGCTCGAGCAGTTAGTTAAAGAAATGATAGTGAAATGAAGAAGTGCTTGTAACTTAGAAGATGTTAAATGAATTGCTAAAAACTGCCTGATTTTACAAAGAGATTGAGCCAAATGAAGAAAGAAAATGACACTTTATGACTGGCATTGATAAACCTGATGCTCTTTACCGCGAAATTTTTAAAGAATTGTGCCAATCATAGTTCCAAGAAAAAAATCACTAGCTTCTTCAATAATTGTATCACGGCCATTAAAAGCGCGATATTTATAAAGCAGCTTTCAATTAACATTAGTTTTTTCCCCTTTGACTTGCAACAGTATTTAGGTTTATGCAAATTATAGGTACTTTCTTAATCTGAATTATATCTAGCACATTTTTTTCATCGAAACGCGCAATTTATTAATTATGTATCAACACACCCGCCTTCGCCAAGTGTTTACTCTGTCACAACAGCGTGGTACATTGATGTTGGGCTTATTAATTATTTCGTCATCCATTACTGCGATGACAGATGATCAAACTTTGTATCGAAATCGTTTCTAAAAGAAAATTTTATTTCCTGACGCTTCAATTTTGAACACGTTGCGTATGTCTGAATTTTAGTAAAAAATATATCTCCAGCATAATATTCTTCAGCTATTCGGAACTGAACATGTATTTTAATTTTTCACGAATATTCGTCGCAGTCCCTCCTGAGGACTTTTATTTATCATGGTTCTTTAGAACGAGTACA